TGGAATGTCTTGCCCGAACATCAGGAATCAGACTCATCATTGAATATTTTAGAGGGCTAGCTAAACCTCAACCAGAAAACAAGTTGCTAGAATCTACACAGCTCGACCAAAATAGTACCCTTGTTACTGAATACTTATCCCCACAAACAATGCCGTGTTCAAAAGTCTTTAAAACAATTTGGCGCGATTTTCGAACGGGAAGTTTAGTCCTAACGTGATTTGCATATATCAAACTTTTGCTGTGTTCTTACGCAACAAAAGTACCATTTCAGTTCTAAAGAATCTATCCTGAGCTATACGTTCGGTAGATTACTTTTTTTTGAGTTTCACTATATTTAATAGTTACCTGTGGTTTTGCCTCAGCTTACTATTCGGTTTTTTTTTGTTTTTCGCGTTTAGACGAGTTTCAGTTTATATCACTCGTTTTGTCCGTTTTTGTCCGTTTTCAGCGTGCATTTTAGTGTTTTTTTTAAAAAGGTCTTAAGCTTTTGCCTGCATCTATAGCATAGTTTGCTTTAACACCGTCATGAAAAACTCATGCAAACGTCCGGGATGCCGTTTTGCTGTCACAACTGGCATGCAGTGTGACAACTGCAAAGGTTGGTTTCACGAAGCATGCACAAATCTGACAGCAACTGCTTACAACAAACTCAGCAAGTCAGACCAAAAGTGGGTATGTGTCACGTGCAACACGGACGCAGTAGTCTTGCTGAGTAACATCATTGTCCTACTGACAGGTCTTCGAAACAAGCTGTCAGTTAACTTGGAATACGACAGTAAAAAAACCGATATACAAACAAGAGCGCGTAACGGACTCAAAAATAGGGATGTCGATAGGTATGTCATCGATGGAGCATCCATCAACACTAACGACGACGTGTCGAGGCTCAGTACCATCATTACGTCGACGGTACTAGACTCCCTAGGCAAACTCGGGTCTCCCAGCTCAGGGTCGCTGAACACAACAGTGGTTCCCAAAAACCCTGCAGGCGATTCGACCCACGTTAAGAGAGCCCAAAAGAACCAGGCATCACCGCCTAAGCCGAGCAACCCAAGTGTTGCTGCACGGAAAATAACTGGTGATTTAGTCGCACAGTCTACCCCCAAGACTGTTCGTCCGGTCAATAAAGAGCCCAAGATTCATAAACGCACACTGACCTCCAAAAAACAAGTTATTAAACCTGAACCCATCGTGAAACCTGGTAAATTAACAACAGTTCGTGACGATTCTCTCATTATCATGAACCTCGTCGACAATCCTGACCTTCCTCTCAGTCTGCAGGATAAAAACGACAGGATGCTGTGGGGTGAATTGAACAAAAAGCTCGAACTTCCTAGAATAGAGCCTTTGACGGTCACCCGGCTCACTCGAGGAAAGGATTCTAAGCATCTAAATCACCCGAGGCTTCTCCGAGTAACACTTAAGAATGCTACCGACGTAGAGGACGTCTTGCTAGCAAGTCACTTACTGAAATCATATGGTAACGTAAGAATATTGCCCGACATACCGTACTCCGAGCGCAATATCATACGAAACGTCCCTAAAGAATCTCGCGAGAAGTTCTTCCGCGGAAGAAACATAATTGTCCAAGGTATACCGGAAAATGCAGACCCTACTCAATCAAATTCTGACATCAGGGAATGGAAATTCATCAAACAGTCCTTGAGGCTCAAACACATACTGACTCAGCACGTGACGAGACTTGCCAAGAAGGACGGTGATCTTAGACCCCGTCTAATGAAGATAACCTTCCCATCTTCCCACATGGCGGCTGCAGTTCTGGAAGCATTTCGTGCTAATAGACGTCGATTGCCACCTGGAATCCACATGCACCCGGATAGGCCATACGAAGTCAGGACCAAGAACAAAGGCAAGCTGGAGCTGACCATTCCACTTGTGGACTGTCTAAACGATAAAAAAAACGTGTAAAGGACAGGGCCTACCACCTCGGCAAACCTCATATAGGTGGGCTACCTGTCCATTCACATAAGGTTCATACAGAAAAACAGGACGAAGCTCATGCGTTCCAAATTGAAAGCATAAACTGCTTATATATGAACGCCGCGAGTTTACCAAACAAACTGGATGAACTACGTGAACTTAGCAACGCTAACAAGGCCCATCTGATAGGAATATCTGAAACCTGGATATCTTCTCAGTTCTCGGATCAAGAGTTAGCATTGCCTGGGATGACTTTGTTCCGCAACGACAGAAAAATAGGAATTGGGGGCGGAGTAGCCATATACATAAGCTCTTGCTTGGAGGTGCACCAGGTTCACAACCTCGAGTTTAACAATCTTGAGGAATCCATATGGTGCTCTGTAAGGCTGTCTAGTACTTCCAGGTGTCTAGTCGGAGTCATTTACAGGAAGCCAACTGCCGACACCGAGTACGATAGTCGTATGCTGGAAGGACTATCCCGCTCTATCCGTCTCGGTTTCACACACATCCTGATTCTAGGGGACTTTAATCTCCCTAGAGTCAACTTCGCGGAACACACGTACACTGGAGGCGACAACTCAACTGAAGCTCGGTTCTTCAACCTCATCGAGAACTTGGGCTTATATGAAAATGTGAGGTCGGCAACTCGTTGGAGAAACAGTCAGACACCATCGCGCTTAGACTGTGTATTCACTAACGAAGAATTCCTAGTCGACAACCTCTCAATCCTGGCTCCTCTGGGAAAAAGCGATCATGCCGTCATAGCCTTCAGTTTTGTTATCAAAACTAAGCTAAGGTATCCCAACAATAATTTGCGATGGAATTTTAAACGGCTGAATGTGCGAGCTCTACATGACCATCTACAACAGGTGGCTTGGGATGTTCACCCTCAAATCGATGTGGATGGTCATTGGGACCTCTTGCTGCACACGCTCTTATGTGCTACAGATCATTCAGTTCCTCAAACGGTTCCCAAAAGCTTCAAGCCACCTACAGTAATCAAGAACCGTACCCTTCGCCTCCTAAGCCGCAAACGGCACTGTTGGGCGGAATACAAACGAACTAATAACGATGGAGCGTATAGGCAATACAAACATATCAGGAACACATGCACGAAGGCTATAAGAGAAGACAGGCTTCAGTACCAAACAAAGCTTATGGACAAATTCGCCTCTAACCCTAGAAGCCTATTCCGTTATGCAGCCTCTCTTCGTCAAGCCAAAACAGGAGTTTCTCAACTGCTAGGTCCTAACGGCCCGACCAACAACGATGGCGACGCCGCTAACCTTCTGGCGGCCCATTACTCTCAAACATTTCAACCGGCTGATATCAACTTTATTGACGACAGTTTCATCTGCAATTCCACAGGACTTTCTGAAGTGGACCTAAGCGCTGACTTGGTGTTCCGGAAACTGCAGCACTTAAGACTTGACACTTCTCCTGGCCCGGATATGGTTCATCCTGCCATACTGAGGGAGGCAGCCTCAATCCTGGCAACGCCGCTTAGCGTGATGTTTTCACACTCGCTTAGCCGAGGCAAATTACCGGAAAATTGGAAGTTGGCTCACATCACACCAATTTTCAAAGGTGGTCGACGCAATGAACCTTCAAGTTACCGGCCGGTAGCTCTTCTGTCGTTACCTTCAAAACTCATGGAGTCCCTAATATGCGATGGTTTAAATGACTACCTACTGTCCTTAAATTTCTTCTCACCCCAACAGCATGGTTTCAGGAAGGGTTACTCTTGTATAACTAACCTGCTGACTGCGGTGGACAGATGGACAAGCATCCTCGATTGCAAGGGAAAGGTTGATGTCATTTACCTTGATTTCTCAAAAGCTTTTGATAAGGTTAACCACTTGTGTCTTATCAACAAGCTCAAACGACTAGGTATCAAACCACCTCTAATCGACTGGCTCACTTCATACCTAAAAAATCGACACTTTAAGGTTAGGGTTAATTTCACTTTATCTCAAGCTATGGAATGTCCTAGTGGGGTCCCCCAGGGCTCAGTACTAGGGCCTCTTCTCTTCTTGATCTACATAAATGATCTTCCTCAACAGGTAACGTCAGACTTATTACTTTTTGCAGACGACGTGAAACTTTGGAGAGAGATACGCAACCAAGACGATATACAGGCACTTCAAGAGGATCTGACTCGACTTCAAAGTTGGGCAGACGATAACGGACTTACCTTTAACACTTCAAAGTGTAAAGTAGTCCATCTGCGACATGTCGCAAACTACAGTTACAACTTAGGAAACTCCTCTCTAGTAGTATCCCAAGTCGAAAAAGATTTAGGAGTCCTGGTGCCCCATGACTTAAAGTCTTACGCTAACTGTGACAAAAATGCCTTCCGAGCAAACCTTGCACTGGTAACGTTGAGGCGCATTTTTGGTCAGTTTGACGGAAGAACTTTCCACACAATCTTCAATAGTTTCATCCGTCCCCATTTAGAGTACGGAAACATAGTACTCCCCCCTCACTCCAAAAGGATAAGGTCACTTTGGAGCGTATCCAACGGCGAGCCACGAAATCAGTTCGAGGACTCAAATCTAAGCCTTACGAAGAACGCCTCCGTTCACTAGACCTTTACCCACTAGAATATAGGCGTCTTAGAGGTGATTTACTAATGGCTTATAGCATTCTTAACACTTCTGGACATCCTCTTAAACACCTACTTAAGCTTAGTTCGAATAATAACCTAAGGGGTAACACCCAGAAACTGGAAACACAACATAGCAAGACGGAATGTAGACACAACTTCTACTCCTTAAGAGTTGTCAAAAGCTGGAATTCGCTGCCGGCCGAGCTAGTCCAAGCGACTTCTCAGGAGTCCTTCAAGAGGCAACTTGACCTATTCTTAAGGACCAAGGACAGCATCACATTATGATTTACCAATTTCTTTTCCTTTTTTATTGTTAACATACCTAGGTTCCTGCCTGGAGGATTTGGTGATCCCCTGCTACTAGACACGGAAGCCTGTTAAGCGAAAGCTTCTTCTATTCCGTCCACAACCATTTGAACCATTTGAACCATTTGAATTCCATTGAAGGTCATTCATAGGGTCATGTTTCGTACCATTTCGAGCTATTCGTTGATGTAGGTTTGATTGCATCTGTGCTTCCACCGTCTGATAATAATCCTTAATTACAAACACTTGTCAATACAATTTGACGTTATTTTTTGTGGTAGCCAAATTGTTGCCATATGTATAATATATATACATATTCATATATATATAGGTAATATTACATTCGTTCTTTACACACTTCAGTGCACTTTTTTCGAATCACCAATTCATTACCTCCTCCGTGATGATGTCACAGACATCTGTTCATTAATTTTGTATATCCCGAGCTAATCAACGCTATAGCGGGGAACAAATTACAAAATTAAATAATTCTGTAAGTCTTAGAGTTTGAGACTGACCTCAATGCTTTTACTGCAGCAAAACACCTTTATTCAACCATTCACATCGGATCACGAGTAGGTACGCCATGTTACGCATCCCTTACAGCTGCTGGCCAGCTAGTCGGTCTTTGGAAACGTTTGGGTAAGCCACGACAAATATTTTCGTGGAAATGTCACAAAAGCCGAAAATCACCCCAGATCTGGGAAGTTCTTCAAATTTGCAACTTACACCGAACGCATCTCGACAAATCAAGCAACAAATCTCTGTGAAACAAAGCGTATCTGTCGTTGAAATAATTATATAAATGAAATGCCACAAAATGCTTTCCTTTTCGACTGTCATGGGGAAATGATGCAGGACTTCACATTTTGGCCCTCTGTCTTTGAAATGTTGCTGAATAGTCTAGTTTTTGCGCAAATTCACACCGAATACTTCACTTTTCGTTTAATTTACATTTTACGCTTGATTAAACGCTTTATTTTCATATAAAATCACACGAAAACTGCAATCGACATTAGAAAATGATACATGGTTGAAGACATTTGTAAACAAGAAAAAGACACCATATTGTTCAAGGACAATAATAACACAGATGCTCGAACAACGATCGTTTTGTATTTTCATTATAAGTGTCAAGTTGTGATGTCATTTACGTAGATATGCACAAGAAACTACAAGTAAATGAATTATTAAAAAAAATATGTCGTTATTGATAAGTGCATATGAAACAAAACATGCTTTCGAAACATACAATTCACTAGTTCAGGAATTTCAAATGCAAATCAGAAATTCAGCACATGGTAAGAAAAGGTTCATTAATAAATAAGTCAAACATCAACACCTCAATGATGGTGTCTTTCTTTGACTTCAGTGTTACTATAACGAACCAAAATAATCTCCCTGTAAATTTCGAAATTTATTGAACACAAAAATTTACGATATCAAAGTGCTGTAACTTGTTAAACAACTGTCAACTCGGAGTATGATTAATGTTGTGTTTGCTAATACTGAACACCTCACCTATGGGACAACAGTGAATTGTTATAACTTTAGATTAGCACATATATGTTCTTATTTTATTCAATGACGCTTTTGCGTTTTGGCTCTCATATCGTGATTAGAAAAACTTTCTTACTTTGTATGTAGCTGTAAAACCTGCACTTCTGAAGTACTCTTCTCAATGAAGCGCCAAGTTGTGTGAAATAGCTGGCAACTTCAGGTTTCTTTACTTATGACAAAATACAGCGCGTGGACGTTTCCGGGCTATCATCCATTAACCGCGTCAGCATGGCCATCTGTGATGCGAATAAATAATCCAATAAATTTTGTTGACCTTTAAATTCCCCCCTCGTATCCTCTTGCTAGGGACGTCCAACGTTCGCAGATCCTCTTCAGATGACAAAGGGTACTGCAAACTTGATAGTGCGATGTTAAATTATCGTGTATGTTCTCGCCCATCGGACTTTGACGATAGCTGCATAATGGCCCCACTTCAGTCTCACATAGCTGATATGTTCTGCAGTACAGTATGCAGCTAATAAAATCCTAATCATTTTCATTAACTGGGCACGTGACTTGCTTGGCCGCCAAAACAATATCTAAACGCCTAGACTCGGACATTGAGGGTGATGCATCCAACTGTGTCGAACTAGTTTATGAACATTCTTAAATAAAACACACCTTCTTGGCAAGTGGTGAGATAAAAATGTCCAACAACCGAAATCCAGGATATTCAACATGGATGTTTCAAGTTTGCATCTCGACCACATCCATGTCAACAGAATTGTTTTTCCGTCTCAATTCACCTCTACTACTGTACTTACCTTTTCGGCTTCTCTTCGTTTAATGGCAAGGTGCTTTCGTCCGTAAAACCGGTGACACGTAACGAGCCAAATTGTTGATTGAAACCGATAAATTCTTTGTAATCTGGGAACTATCTATAGGGAACGACCGTTTCTATGTTTGTAACTGACCACAGTAGATCATCTTGCACTTCAGGGCTGACCAATTATCATCCGGTTGGGCACTGTTCTGCATGTGCATATTCACAACGTCCGTAGGATAGAGACAAGTTCTTTACCCAAAATCCACTGTTTAGCTGCAATTAAAACATGTCTTATGCTTAGTGCGTCGATATGTGGGAGCTGCCTATTAGTCGGCTAAACAGTATATAAAAGGTAAGGAAATGTTTGAAAATAATACAATCGGCAAGAACTAAAAAATACATTCACATGAACGTATGTAGCAATGGAACAATTACTGCATTCTTAACACGGTTAACGACAATACATTTACAGTCAAAATCCTTAACAAAAACCCATATGTACTCATGACTAACTACCGAGTACAGAAATATTACTGTTACTAGAATAGAATGGTTCAGCGAAATAATCACGTGGGCCTGTGAATGGTCTGAACTTCGTTATTCCTTATTCTCCTATGTCATTGATTAGCTCAGGCTTTCCATGTACTATTTTTACATTATCTGGCTTAAATGAAGTTATTTTAGTGTTCTTACGCATAATTAATTTCTTTCCGGGGTCAGACTTAACGAATGTTTGTAAAGTAGTGATCGATATGCTAGCTTTCAACCTACCACAAAATGATATCTTCACAGCATAACGTTGGGCTGCTTGCTTTGCTACGGCGTAGCCGCGACGCATTGATTACTTAATCTGCCCCATACAAGACCCAAACAGGGGGGCGCAAGAAGAATCTAAAGCTCCGTGCGCACAAACGTCATCTAGAAGGTGCTTCAACAAGTGCACATTATAAACTAAGTTTCCAGGCCTATGGCGCCATTCGTATTTCTTTAAGAAAATTAGGTAAATACTTCCCGACCGAGTCTTTCGCACTGCCATGTAATCTCGAATGCGTTAACAGATGCATCGCTAATGTTAAATGCTTGAAATTCAGCTACAACAGTTGTGGTGAACAATGTTTAAGAATTACGAGGCCTAAATACAGAAAGGATAATCGACACTGTCGCTTTCCATACTGAAACGAAGTCTAATATCCGACATTTACTCTGAAAGTCTGAAGGATTACTTGCGGCACAACTTGATATGAACATATTTATGTCCATAATCACATAGTTATTCATGGTTCTAAGTCTCTTGTGATAGAAGTCTATTCATAGGCTGGTTAGTTTTTTTGTCACACTTCAGTATAACGTGTGCATTGGATCTAAAGGGAATGTTCAAACCATATTAACGTCATGTGTTTCGAAATTGGAACAGCCTTGATGATGAATTGATTGGATCTGCTGACGAAAACTATTATCATTTCGCAATATATACTCACCATTTGGAAACGTCATTCTTCAGTCAATGTGCCGACCCACTACTATATGGCTATCGCAAACTGTTTTTCGATTGTGATTAACTGTGTATGTAACATTCGAACGAGCTGGTGCGTTACAGATTACAGCAACCAATTTAGTAGCTATGTATTCATTGAACTTAACACTATGAAGCCCCACGTCTCTCACGTCTTTTAATTCAGAAATGCTGTTCACAGATACTTCTTTAAATTTGGCTGACTTTGTATTCCCTCCATAGATGCTTATCATGAACATGTGACTAAACCTTGGGGCAACGGTGCTTCCTAATATAGTACATAGCTGTCTACACTTTGAAGGCTGCTTTGTAAATCTTGTACAAGGTCTAGAAAATCATTCACAATGCGATCAGTATCTCTGATGGTTTGACGACCATTTGTCATCAAAATCGTTAATGTCATATTAATCTGTTCTTTCAGGTCTATAGACTTCTGTGAACACAAATAAACGTCATCACATCCCAAAAGAAATGGATTAAACGAGTGACTAACTGCATCTGATATCAGAATTCATCTGTTAACAACTATTTGTTTTAAGTCCAGTGATGATGCTCGGCTGCATAAACCTATAGAAGTATTTAGGGTAACGGAAGCTTGATTCCATGTTCAAAACAGTGACCGAATCACGTTCAGTCGATATACTGACTGAAAGTGATTTGGTCGTCCCAGAATACTCAGCTATGGTACAACTTTTCCTCATAATGTATTATTGAGGTTTTCATGTGCATTACGTTACTACAGATTAATGATTATCGATGCTGAATCCACTGTCTTTGAATAATTAACCAATAAAGTTCATATAATTGTGTTTTAATATAATGGGAATTTTTCAGCAATGAAGTGGGTTCATGACAAACTTGTTCAGTCTTCTCATAAACCTAAAGGGTTTGATCGCACCATAATTTCCAGGTCAGTATTAGTTAGTAAATGCATGAACAGATAGAAAGGGTACATGATTGACGAGAGACGAAAAATTACTTACGAATGTTTAAGATCCCATCAGGTTGTTCCAATTATCTAATCGTACAAATAAATCCGGATTAACGTACAAATCCAGGTTACAGATAAACAGATTATTATGCTTGGTGCCTGACATCAATCTTATCCACTTATTTGTAGTATCGGTCTTTCGGTAGTAAATATCTTATTGTTTCACATCAAGGAACTTGAGTATAAGTGACTCATCCTAGACAGGGGGAATATTTACAGGTGATGCTTAACTACTAAAATAATATAGCTGTTATAAATTTCTTTGAGGAAACCAAGATCGCAACTTCATTTTCTGGGGTAGCCGTAATTTGAGGATAGTTCACAGTATGACTAGTACTGCATTCGACTTTTGAGTTCTTTAAAGTTTAGGCGGTTTCTCAATCGTTACCTTATCTAGGATTGAATTTCGAAACTAACTTTTTTAATTTTAAATTAGAGAACAAATAGGAACAGCAAGTGTACTCAGCTTTTGTAAATATTCTGTCTCTTGTATTCGAAAACACTACCATTTTTTCATTGCTTAGAACCGGTTTATTCTGTTTTCATCGTTTATTTAACCAACTTTTTTTAAGTATAATCAATTTTTGTTAGATCATGTATAAAGCAAATAGTGAACTTGTATCTCAGTGGCTCACTGAAATAAGGGTTCTTGATGGGGGGTTTGGAACAGAAAGTCAGAAATTATCAAATCTACAAATAAAAGGACATTTGGCTTGGAGTTCCAGATTATTAATGGACGACCCAGAATTAGTTGTTAAAATACACAAGTCGTAAGTTTTGTATTTCTGTTTATCATCAACTATCAGTTCTATTGGAGTTGAACGATACACTACAAATATGAATTTATGCAGTTACTAAGTTAAACAGCATTTGTGCTACATAAGGATACTGTCTGTAATCTCAATCATTAAGAATTCGTAAGCTATTTTCGCTTAAAATATTACCAATTAGCTGTAATTAACTCAATAATATGATTTCATCGTCAAGTCGTAATAAAGATAGTTGTACCCATAGTTCACCACTGGCATCATAAATACACCAATAGAATTTCCATAAGAAACCAATGTTGTTGCAGATTACAACTACGGAAAAACTTATAACTGCATAAGTACAATTTTTTGCATTTAGCTTATGAAAATTTGGAGTTGTGGATTCTTTTGTTTCCGATTCATAACCCTATCAGCTTATAAATGTAAGAGATTGTATACTTTGAGAGAAGTCGTTATATCACAGTTATCATGTTTAATTCAATCTGTAGATGGTATATCAATCGCATTAAGAGTAATAATCTAATATTCAACACATTCTGTCGTGTCTAGTTTTACAAGTAAAAAGATTCACTGATCGGTTCCGCCGTCAGGTCAACATATCATGTAGTAAGAATTCCCTGTCCTCAGTTTTTATCTTTTAACTAACATTCCTTCCTAAGTTAAGTGTCAGTTGAAAAGATGATTATGTCTAAAAATCACCACTTGATTATTATTAATCCTTGATAAGACAATTTAGTTACATTTGCTATATTACTGCAGAGTTTTCTGATCTTTCAATGCATAATGTTATATTAAAGCTTTTTGCATGCTGGTTGTGATGTGATTTCTACGAACACCTATCAAGCAGCGCCCTCAACCTTGGTGAAGGCACTTGGTATAAATGATGGAGAAGCGAAAAACCTTATGCGTACTGCTGTACATCTAGCTCAAAGAGCACGTGAGGAAGAAAATAATTCAGATAATGCAAGTGAATTCCAACGAAAATTGCCTGTTCTTATTGCCGGATCTTTAGGTCCATACGGAGCATGCGTTGCTGATGGATCAGAGTATACTGGGACGTATGCAAACAAAGTTTCATTCACTGAACTAGTGGAATTTCACTTATCAAGAGCACAAATTTTATTGGAGTCAGGAGCAGATTTCATAGCATGGGAAACTGTTCCACTTTTAAAAGAGGTTTCATCAATATGTGAAGTTATGCGCAGACTACCATCGGCATGTTGCTGGATATCAGTTTCGTTACCAGATGGTAAAGAAACATCCGGTGGGGATTTACTAGCTTCAGTCGCGTGTGAGGTAGCAAAGTGTGAACAGGTACGTCAAACTCTAATCTAAAATGAAATTAAGATCGTTGTCTCCTCAGATGTATATACGGTTTTTTAGAATTTGTGTTTTCTAGGTGAATTTCACTTCAACTATATACATAAGCATAGTAGCTATGTAAGCGAACTGTGCTAAGGAACAATCTCCCTCCAAATGTTCAAAATACATGTATTAGAACCAGAGAAATCTAAATGATGGATTGTTAATTAATCCAGAGACAACACTTACCACTAATGGTACTATTCAACTGACCAAACTGAAGTACATGATGTGGAGTTCTAATCTATTGCTTAATATTTCCTACTTATGTAATGATAATAGTAATGCTCAAATATGAATTAGCTGCTTGTAATCTATCATATATTATAATTTTTTAGCGATTTCAAATATGAGTATACTTTATGATGTGCTGTTAAACTGTTCATATTAGTGCTTAGTTGTATTTAGTTTATTACTAACTTATCACACACTAAACACTGATAATACATGTCCAACATTATACTACTAGGTTTTCGGTGTTGGAGTTAATTGTAATATACCACATGATTGTATTGGTAAGGGACTTGCTAACTTAAATTCACAAACATGTAAAGAATCAGAAAATACTTCAAGTAAATTACTATTATTTTACGCAAATGATGGTCGTTTATGGATACCTAATAATGGCGATAAAAAGCAAGATCATTTTGGTGATCATCTACAATACAATCATGAAAGTTGGTTTCAAAACACCATCAAATGGGCAAAACGTCGTGAAATTTCAGATGATGAACAATTACATTATTCAGTAAATTATAAACCTCCTTTGGCTCAGTGGGTTGGTGGATGTTGTAATGTTGGACCTGAACGTATAAGAAGGCTTGCAAAATGGATGAAACCTGATGAATTTATTTGCTGACTGATGCTTGATATTTGACTAACTCTTAGATTATATGATTGTTTCAACTATCCTACTTCATTCATGCTTTACTTTGTATGAATTAAGCAGTTTTAAACGAACAGTTCGATGATTAAATATATTGCGTGAATTGTACACTTATTTAATGAACTTTGTGGTAAAAATTATAATTTATTGAAACATGAGTATTTAGGTAACTGTTTTCATGTAACTCAGATTAAATGTATTGACTGATACTAACCATTAAGACAAAATAGTAGTATAACCTAGTACAACTACATATATAACTAAATATGCATATCCAACGAAGATATAGAAATACAATAAAAAAAGAACATGTATTTTTCTGAAAAATCAAAGAATTAATTTGCACATAGTAAATACATTTGGTGGGCATTTTTTATGCTACAAGTTTTATACATCCTTTTAATAATTTCCACTCATTGCAATCACTTGGATACAATCGTTTCGGATAGAGTTTCGTTCCATCATGATAGGCAAGACTTGTATTTTTAAGACAAAAACAACATTATTATAAAGATGTTAAGGAGGGTCACATTTTTTCAGCTAAAAAACGGTTTGTGAAATAGAACGATTCCACAAGAGACCAGCTTGCTGGTTGAATTGTGGATTCAGATACAAGGCTGTTAATAACGGATGTTCCAATTCGCACGATAGTCATTTTATTAGGGCTTAACAAAACGTTCTGTCATATCACAGAGTATGCCAATATCATAAGCTAAAATCCCGTATAACAATTTCCATTTAGTGTGATCATATGAGATCCAAATCCGCTTAACATTTTCAAGAATTCATGACCTAAAATCCTAGAATTTAACTGTTGAATATGAAAGCTATAATTAACAGTCTACAGCGAAATTAATGATTTCATATTACTGCAGTTGCCAGCCTACGTGTATCCATGGTTAGCTGGTGTTACTCGACTATCGGTTTGTCTAATATCTGCTTGTAATTAAACCAACTATTAGGAACTCCACGTTTAAAAAATGAGCACATTACAAATGAGACGTGAACCAATTAGGATTCAAGTATTCGAAGGATTTGATTGTAATGAATTCTATGGATACTTTACACAGATGAAAAATACTCGGTAGATTGTCAAGTGTGACAGAACTACACGATGAGCTCAGACGAAAGCAATCAGAAATAGCTAATAGGCATTCAAAATTAAATCAAATAATGCCAGCTGATCTAAGGGAAGACGAAGTGCATTCTCAATCTTTATGAAGTTGTACTGTAGATGATGGCCAGATTCTTGTTAAGTTTCTTAAAACCGTCATAAACATATTAAAATACACTTATCTCCAAGCGTTTATTTTTAAGTACTGTGATATGTAAGTCATGCACACAACAGCTTGTTACACGATGAAAAGAAAGACTAGGATTTGTGTCACGCATAATGTGTACTGCAAGTAATGTAGTCAAAGTGTATACAGGTCAATCATATAGATAACATTTTGAAGATTTTTTTATTGATATTTCAGGCTGAGAGACAAAATTATTATGTTATCTACAAATAAAATGCTACTCAAATCACTAGTACATTACTCTTCACTAGTCGGGGTTATGATCTCAACAACTTTGTGTATAAATAACAACTTTCATTCTCTAATTTATATTCAGTCAGTTGACCCAGTAGTTTCTTTTATCTTCATAAGTATTTGTTCGAAATTCGAGTATCGATTCTACAAACTAATTACCCTTCATCAATTAATTGTATCATCATAACAACATTTTAAAAAATCATTTGGGAGAACCTTGTGAACTCTTTGGAAAAAAGTTATCAATAATTAATACGATGTAAGGATACGGTAACCGGATAACCCACAAATATCCATTGTCTAATGTAACATAACCTGGTGATTGATATTTCTCACTACGAACGGTATCCGAATGTAAATTTGTGCTAGATTTTATACGATCTTCATAAAAATAACTATCATCATCAACTGGATGACTTTGATCATAATCTGAATCTATTACACTATCCAATTTTTTATCAGAGCATTGATCTAATGTATGTCCTAGGTGAAAGATTGGAGTAAGTTTTGTTGGTCCCGGTCGTATACATGGTTGAAAACGAACTTGAATAGGAGCAGCTGGTATAGCTAAATATATTCGTGATAACTGTGCCATGACAGTTGAATTTTTTGTATAATTGGATGATTTCATTGTACTAGTATTACCACCTACATCCCATTCACTAGTAGGATTAGTGGAATGACGTGTATTACCGAGCAATACATGTGAGGTTGGGTGATGACACTGGCATGGCATGAAAATAGGTAGATCACGTGTTAACAATGAGTGAACGGCTCGTCGAACTTGACTGCTTTGCATTGGGCCATCCATAATTCGGTCCGTGCCAGTGATGAAGAATCGATGACCCATTGGACATTCCATTTCAAAACCAATAAATAATTTCACTGTATCTGATTCTGTATAGATATAATGAAGCGATAGAAAAAATTTTTAGTAACTGTAGTCTCAGTCTGAAATTAAACATTCATTTTAAGCTTTACATTTTTAGAACACCAAGTATTTATAATATTTCCAACTAACAGCAAACGAAGTGATTACTGTTGTTACTCAAAATGACGAGTTCTCAAGACATTCAACAAATCAAACGTCTCGAATAAATATTACTAGAAGAGAATTATTTACCAAGAGCCGAGCGCATATATCCCAGCTTTTACTCTGGTTAAGACTGATTAATAGAGAAAATAAATTCGTGACAACACTTTTTTTCACATCATTTTATCAACTTAGATCTCTAGATTCAAAAGATCTTTATTGCAAGGGAACAATATGGACTATCCAGTGAAAGTAATTTTATCTTCTCACGAAAGACGCGAGATACTGTTAGACTTTTCACATGTATTCTTCATAGATCTGGTTACTTAGTTACATTAAATAAGAACTACAAATGGATTGATAAAGGCTATTATGTAAATATCATTACCAAGGTCTGACTTGGAAATTTCAAATAATTTGAGAACAGGTTAGGTTGCTACTAATATATATCTTTTCTGAAGAATTGGCTTACACTGAGCAATGAAAGTTCAGAAAAATTAATTTTTCTACTCAGCAGCATGTTACAAATATACCATTTTCATTTACCATGGTCATATTTAATATGTGTTATCCACGTCGTATAGAACAATGATTAGTTGTATTTTGTTGCTTGAAATGTTGAAAAATATGTAAATATCATATTGATTTGTTTTTCATTATTTATTGATACTTTATCTATGGTTACCATTTTGATTAGTTCTAAAACTAATCAAGTATTCTCACAAACGATAACCAACAAAATATACTACAGTAAATTATGTTCAAGAAGGAAAGAGATTGAAATTGTAAATCTAAACCAACTGATTTCAGCAGTGGTGTTATTATAAACAATATGCTGTAAAGTGGATTCGTAGGTTAAAAATATAGTACTAAAGAATCTTGCACTAGGATAAATCATACTTGTTTACTGCTTATTTACTCCAAGAGAATACTGTTGATATCAATAGCTTTTTTTTAAAGCCAATCAGATGTCTAATATCTTACATGATATATGATGGACTCACAATTGTAAAATTGCGTCCAGATTATATAATGTAGTTGTTGAATAAGTAATATAACAATAATAGTGATAATGATAATATTCATTACCTGTTCTACCTCCTCGATATCTTCCTCTTGCGGACTTACTAAAACGTCCACGCTCCGAGCCATTCCGGGTATTATTATTATTCATTAAGGATACATCCCACGGAAGTAAGAAATTACTGTTACGCATAAATCCTCGGCAAGGTAGTCCTATATGAGATAAAAAGTTATTTTTTTCGTCTTATAAACGCCATATATATAAAAGTAACCAGTTATTAAACTTAAGTGGCACAATAACAGCGGACAATAATGAGAATAACGCTAACTATTAATCCACAAAATATTACACATGAGATTACTCTACTTTATGCACTGACCAGTGTAATGTATAACTGTAGTATAGACTGAAGTTCTTTAAATTAAAGATAAGAAGGAAAGCAATTGAACAAAACTTCTGATTATCTTAGAGTTTATTAATTATTTTTTTATAGCATCAGAAACATCTAGTGTCTTGGACTGATGTAACGAAGCTGAAACTTCTTCCACCCCATTTGACAATTCATATTTTATTGAACATGTATGGAAAACTCTGTAACTTTCTTAATAAATGTGTGTACTGATTATTTAGTGAAAATAAATTTCAGTACAAAGAACTATATTCCAAGTTACTGTGATATGACAATCAAAACTAAGTAATATGGACGGTGGAGAAGATTTGTAACTCAGGTGGATGAGTTTGATGGATTTTTGTTCTCCAAGCTGCATTGTTTGGTCAGAGGACAAAACTCCATCAAAGTAATATGAATTCAAACAAACGTTTAAGCTGAGGGAAGTTAGTAGATTTGAATAAACTCTAAGTTTCAATAAACTAAATTATACATAATCTTTCGTGTACACTGATAAATAAACATCAAAAACAAATTATGTAATGAGGAATGTAGAAATTACCGGAAGAATGAGAATAACTGAAATATTTCCCAAGTGCATAGATAGACCATGAGGGGTAAAGTGGTAAATCACCAACAAACCAATTAGTATTCGGTACACCATCACGAAATACAGCAGGATATAAAGGCATTGAATCACTTGAATGAATATTATCAACTCTGGCAGAATTCGATACATTTATTTTTGATTGTGAAGATGGTGAATGGTGAGCAGGTACACCAGCATATTCATTATTTTTAATTTCAGCTGTTTGTTGTACTAGATCATTTTGTAAAGGAACAATTGAATCTGATGTGTTGGATAGTTCAGATGGATTCGGTGATGAACAGCTTCCAGCTGGAATAAATGTATTAAGATTAAACCACAACGTTACGTTACACAGAAATCAAGGCGAAAGTATACTATGTTGACGATGTTGCTCTACTTACTAGCCAATCAAGAAACATAGCTTAGTTATAAAACAATTGTAGAAAGTAGTAAAAAATTCGAATAACGGTTTCGATATGATTAATTAACCTTTACACATTAAACTATGTATTGTGGTAAGCGAAAAGATGTCAAGTTTACATATCACGAGTTGGGGTTATAAATATTGAGTTTTCGTCACTAGCTGATATCAGTTATAATGCAATGATGCTTTCCAACCCTTTTGTTCACTTAGAGTTGATGTTTAAAGTCATGCGTTAGAGTGGGAGAATAATATCTAGCTACATAAACGCCCTTGACTATGCGTTGAATCACATTAGGTACGTTATAACACAATCTGCATTAGGAGCAGCTTTTTCTCGTAATTGAGCTTAAGCACCATATTATATTCACCGTTTGGTTGCGTGGTAGATATTTTAAAAATCAACTTGAAGGATTGAATATTGCTGATTTTCACTTAGAGGTGCGATTTTGATTCTGACCATCAGT